CCCGCGCCGCCGCACAGCCTGCGAGGTGAGTCCGGCTTGGGGGGGAGCGGGGGGAGCCCCCCGGCCGGGGCAGCGAGGGGCCTGTTGGAAAGAGTGTCTCACACTCACACACACTCACACTCACACACACACTCACACACACGGGGCTCGGGAAAGTTTCTCGGCTCAGGGCTGCAGGAACAGGGCTGCCTTTGTGTGCCGGAGCTGCGGGAGTGGGGTACCCGAGCCCGGCTCCAGGGAGTGGCGATCCCTGGCTGGGGAGGGGGCCAGCGGTGGGAAATCTAGAGGGGGGCCCTGAGTGGGGAGGGGGGATCAGCGCTGGGAAATCTAGGGGGGTCCCTGAGTGGGGAGAGGGGATCTGCGCTGGGAAATCTAGGGGGGTCCCTGAGTGGGGAGGGGGGATCAGCGCTGGGAAATCTAGGGGGGGTCCCTGACTGGGGAGAGGGGATCTGCGCTGGGAAATCTAGGGGGTCCCTGAGTGGGGAGGGGGGATCAGCACTGGGAAATCTAGGAGGGTCCTTGCCGGAGGGTGGGTCGTACTGGGGGAGGGGGATTTCCTCTAAGAGATCTAAAGGGAATCTCTTGAGGGGGGGGCTGTGTACCGGAGTGGGAGATCTGCTCTAGGATATCTGGGGGGGGGGGGGATCTGTGGCAGGGTGGTTCTGAATGCCGGAGGGGCAGGCGGGGGGGCTGTGTGGGTGTTGGAGGTAATTGGGGCTTGCGAGGGAGAGGGGCTAAATCCAGGAGGGGGGTCGCATAGGGTGTGTGTGGTCTCGGGGGCGGGGGTGAGAGGAGATTTTTGTTGCAGGGCAGTGTGTGTGTGGGGGATTCTGCATAGGATGGAGGTTATAGGGGTGGCTGGGAAGTGGACCCCCCCCATGTGTGTTCTGCATTGTATGGTATCTGCCCATGGGGTAGTGCAGCTGGTCTGGTTTCACCGATGGTGCACCCGGGACAATGGGCACAGGGCGCCGGGGGGGGGCCCAGCCTGGAGGAGGGGGAAGCAGTCCGGAGTCGGGGGGGAGGGGGCAGAAAAGGGTAATGCCCCAGGGCCTTTCCTAATGGGCTAGAGGCATTTGGACAATGCTGCATGGGCTCCCCCTGTTCTGGGGTGACAAACCCTCAGCCACCCCCCACGTGACAGACCCACACCCCACTCAGAACTTCACAGCTGGGGGGGGGGGAACAGAACGCAGGCCCCGGCCCATTTGAGGTCAAGGGGAATCTCCAGTGGCTGCTGGCCGTGTAGGGGGCTCTGACCCGCAGCAGAGCAGTTCCAGTTCCATCCATCAGGGGGCAGCACCCCACACACATCCCTAGCTCCTTCCACAGGACAGAACCCAGAGATGAATCTCCCTCTGCGCGGGGGCCTCCCCGGCGGGAGTGCAGTTGGTGTTAGGGCCCTGCTCCCGCCCCCCAGCAGAGGGGGCAATTGGAGGCCCCCTGCGCTGGGGCTATTCTCTGCCCCCCCCGGGCTCATAGAGTGGTGAATTGTGAGCTGACATCAGGGACCAGGCAGTGAGGTGCCAAGAGGACTTAAAGCCACCCCCCCTCCCTGTTTCCACTGCAGGGACAGGGGAACCGAGGCCCTGGGCCTTCCCTTGGGTTTGGCCTTGTCACACAGGAAGCAACACTCTGGACAGGAGTTGCGTCACCTGCCACTGTAATGCAGCCCCCTCTGGGATGCAGGCGAGCAGCTGGCAAGCAGTGGCACCACCAGAACGTCTTAGGTCGGGAATGGGAGCAGACTCCCGTGTCCAGCGGAGTCCGTGCAAGCCAGCAAAAGGCACGTTTCCCCAGAGGGGGATGTCTGGCCTGGCCGCCCTCACTTTTGGGAATGGAAGGATCCCTGTCACGGGAGGGGTTTGGCCTGGTCCCTTCGCCCACGTAGCATAGGCTCCTGTTTGTGGCCGCAGAGGGGCTGGATTCGACCCCGGCTGGTGCCCAGGAGCCAACTCGTCATCCTGTGCGGTGCTCGAGGTCAGGCCACATGCTTCAGAGATCTTATGGCCAGAAGGGACCATCCAATCTGCCCCTTTCCAGGCCAGAGAACCCCGCCCAGTGAGTCCTGCGTCCAGCCCCTATCTGATAGTCGAGCTAGAGCGGCGGTTTTTGGGAGACAGTCCCTCTCCCTGTTCAATTTCCATCAGCCCGAATGTGTCTCGCTTCTGCTCCCAGCCGTTTGATCTAGTTCTGCCGAATGAAATCGCCCCCGGGTATCAGAACTCGCAGTGGAGGTGCTTCCAGACCAGGCCCGCGTCCCTTGGATACGTTCGCCCAGTCTCCTTTAACCCCTGACCGGGAGGCGGGTTTTCCAGACTCTTCTTTGCACCCATCCCAGTTTTTTTGCATCGTCCTTTTTAAAACGTGGACTCCAAAACGGGATGCAGTAGTCCCGTCTTGGTCTCCCCGGTGCTCCATGTGAAATCTGTCGCTCCCCTCCGTAGTCCTTCAAATCCAGGACTTTAACTCCGGGCTGGGCCAGGGTGGCGATGCCAGTCCCAGCAGGGGGTGGTAGAGAGAAAACAAGCTGGCATCGGCCGAGCCCGGCTGTTAACCGTTGGGTTTAGCGGTGCCAAGAGCTACCGTTCTTGGAAGGAAGCTATTTTTCGACAGGGTCCGGGAGCGGTGCCGGAAAAATCTGTCTCACCGCGTGTCTCCCCATCTGTCTTGTTCCCTGGTATTGAAATCATTAAAGCAAGCAAACTGGGCAGCGTAAACCCAGAAAATCATTGGGACCAAGTTGTGGTGCCCAAGTGCGTATTGTGTGTGTGTGTGTGGGGGCAAGCATGGGACAGTGAGATGTTGGGAGATTGTTGGCAGGCTCCTGGGTGCGAGGTGCTGGATGGGGTGACCCCTGGTGTGGGGTGCTGGGTTGCGCTGGGGGGCTCTGGGCATGGGGACAGGTTGGTCTGTCCTGGATGCAGGGGGCTGGGTTGGGTGCCCCCTGGGCGCAAGGCTGGGTTAGATGGCTCCGGCATGGGGCGCTGGTCCAGGTCAGGTGCCCATGGCTGGCACAGCACGGTTCCCCCCCACGGCCGCTGCGTTGGCTTCTAGCAGGGTGCACGCGTGCTGCTGGCCAGGCCCCCAGCGACCCTCCGTCCCAGAGGGGCTGGAGCAAAGCGGGTTCATCTGAGGTCAGGCTTGGCTGCCGGAGCAGGAAGGAAGGGAGGGAAGCTCCACTCTGCCCTCGCTTTGTCTGTCTCTATCCGCCCGGGCCAGCCAGCGCGGAGGAGGGTCTATTCACGAGCGGAGGTCGTTCACATTGGTCCGTTCTGGGACAGGATCTCCCAGGGAACAGATTCGGAGCCTGAAAGCCAGATCTGGCCCTCCCAGATCCCCCTTGATGGGGGCAACTTTGGGACACTTCAGATGACAATCTGGAGTCAGACCGGTAGGACTTGAACCTGGGGCCTTAGGCGCGCCAGATCTCCGCTGCTAAAGCCAAAGGACTAACTCGTGGCTGGCGGCTCTAGTAGGTTGTTATCCTCCGGAAGAGCCAGCCAACATGCAGTTTGCCAGCATCTTCCAGGACCAGAACCCGGTTCCTTCTGTCGGAGGATTCCAAAGTGCTTGCCGGTTAATCCCCACCAGCCCGGTTCTGACCTAGCTCCTGCTGACGGCAGCCAAAACCCCGGCCTCTGCGTGACGTCAAGGGATTTTTGCCTTTGTGTGCGTGGCTGCTGGAAAGCAGCCACCTCTGGGGTGGAGCGCGGTGACTGTTGTGCGGCAGCTGCTGTGTGGCGCAATGAATAGGAATGAGGGCGAATGTACCAGGCTGGGAGGCAGGGTGGTACCGACCCAACCGGGTCTGCGCTTCGCGTCGGTCCCTGGGCTGCCCTGGTGGAGAGGTCTAGTGGTAAGAGCGCAGGACTGAGAGTCAGGAGTCCCGAGTTCTGTCTCCGAGGGGAGTGGGGTCTAGTGGCTAGAGCAGGAGATGGGCCGTCAGGAGGTCTCAGGTCACTCCCAAGCTGTGGGAAGGGATGATGCCTGGTGGTTAGAGCACAGGGCTGCATGTCAGCAGAGCTGACTTCCCTTCCCGTGTCTCCCAGGGGCGTGCGGTCTAGTGGTGAGAGCAAGGGTGAGCCTGGGTGTCAGGACACCTGGGTTCTTTGCACAGCTCTGTGAGGAGAGTGGGATCTAGTGGCTGGAATTGGGAACTTGTGTGTGTCTGTGTGTGTGTGTGAGAGAGAGACAACCCTGGTCTGATGGAAGCCCTTTGAGACGATCATGGGATGCAAACCTCTGGGAGTGAAAGTTTTTCCCTTTTTCCCCTGCCCTCTCGGTTCCGGGCATGTCTGCGCATTGCATGTGTTTGGTAATTTTGGGCGCCCTGCCCAGTTTGTGTTTGATCCCACGCCCCAGCGTTCGCCGTCCCAGAACCCTTTGCGTCCGGAGCGGGGCACGCTCTGGAAGCGTCGCTAAATGACAGCTGGACCTTTTCTCCCTCACCTGCCGGTTACATGGGGCTGCCAGAAAGTGACGAGGTGTGTGGATGTGGCGTATGTTATGGTAGCGCGTAGACGCTCTGAGCAAGACTGCGCGGTGCTAGGCGCTGTACAGACACGAGGCAGGGCATGCTGGGGATCACAGCGCCACTCCCGCAGCCTGGCTCAGCTGTGGGCAGAGAAGGAGCAGGCATGGATATCCTCCACCTCCCTCCCAGTCCTGGGCTCTCACATGTTTCCTGGAACCAGCTTCCTGGTGGGCAGGCCCTCACTGGATGAATCACCGCTCCATGCCTCAGTTTCCCCGGCAGTAAAATGGGGATAATACTATAAGACCCAACACAGCTGAGGGACTGGGAGGATTGAGTTCTAATTAGCTTGAGTGGATCAACCAGAGGGTGGGACCCAGGAGACCGGAGGTGTTTTGATGCAGCCACTGGCCTCTTTCTTTTCCCTCCCGTCCTTTGTCTGTCTCGGTTATTTAGCCTGGGCCCCGATCTCGCTCGAGTCGTGATACAGACACAATCAGCCCACTGCCGGCTGGGCGAATCTCTAGTGCTTCCTTTGTCTGCTTAGGTGTGGTAGCTCTCCACTGTCTGTGCACACCTGGGTGCCATGGGGCCCTCTGGGTGCTAAGATCCTACCTGGAATAAGAACCCCATAGGCACGGCTGGGTCTTTGGGTGCTTTCCAGCTCGGGTGCTGGCTCTGAAAGGGATAATTGTGAACCCGGAAATCCCCTGCCTGATTCCAGCTCGGGCCACGCCCATGAACCAAGGCTCCTAGCTGCTTTCTGCAGCATGAACGCACCTCCACACTCAGGTTAGCTTGTGGCAGGCTGGGGTGGGGGAGGTCACAGGCTGGTTAGATAGAGGATGGGGGCTGTGATGGTGGCAGGAGTGGGGAAGATGGTGGCAGGAGTGGAACTGGGAGGTAGGACACCTGGGTTCTAGGCCCGTCTCCCAGGAGGAGAGGAGGATCTAGTGGATAGAGCAGGGGCTGGCCTGGGGGTCAGGACTCCTGGGTTCTTATCCTGACTCTGGGAGGGGAGTGGGATCTAGTGGTTGGAGCAGGACTGGCTGTCAGGTCTGATCTGCTTTTAGAGTGGGCTGGACCCCCCGAGATTTCTGTTCTGTGGGAAATTGCGACATTTTGGGGGTAAAAACTTCGCTCGGCATTAGAACGAAATTCCCGGGAAACATGAATTCTGAGGACGTTCAGTTCGGGGCCACGGAGACATTTCATGTTGAATAATGTTGGGGTTCTTTTTACTTCCCTTCTGGTTTTTGTAATCCTTAGGGTCACGCTCAGTCCATGTTTCCAAGGATTTCTCGGAAGACATGACGGCTAGAAACTCAAGCAAGCTAGATTTGTAAGAAATCCCATGACTCCAGAAGCTAGGGCCTTACGGGAAGCACCAAATATCTTCACCCGCCACCCCCTCTTCTTTTTATGCATGGGATCCTTCCGCTTGGGGTTTCTTTGTTTAGAATGACAGGGAGGACGGGTTTTGCTTCGTCTTGGTCGCTATCATTGACGGTGGAGCTGTGACAATGTGCCAGGCGCTGTACAAGATCCAGAGAGATGCAGTTTTAGCTTCAGGGGCGCGGCCAGAGCGCACTGCGGCTCTGGCTATTCTTTGTCCCCCCCTCCCCAACCCATAGGGGGCAGCTCCTAGGAGCCTGGAGCAAGGATGGCGGGATCCCTTTGGGCCCCCTTTGCATTCCCTGTATTTTGAGCCCTGCCTGGTCCACTCGGTGCAGCCTCAGGGCTGCTCTAACGCATGCTGCGCCCCTTCTGGGCCCTGGAGAGCAGAGAATAGACACAGCGCAGGGCGCTCCGGCTGCGGCCCTGATCCACCCCTACTTCCGGGGCTGTGAGCACGGCCCTTACACCAACCCCCGGCAGACCAGGGAGGCCCCCTGTGGGTGGGAGATTCTCAGGGCAGCCGTTCCCACCCCAGAGCCTCCCAGGGGGACCTGAGCGTGACTGAGAAGCAGGCCCCAGGAGTCCGTGAAAACCAAAGACCCAAGAACCGATTCCCAACAGAGCTCAGGTTTGCCCTCAGCCGCCCTGGCAGAAATCGACTGGATTCCCACTCCAAAGCCTGCCGCTGGGCCACGTTCTTTCTGCCGCGGAGGGTGTCCCGTTTGACCTTATTAGGGGATATTTTCCCTCACTCTCTTTCTGTTTGAAGCCTGGGGATTTGGGTGGGGGAATCTGGAAAGCGGCATTAGCTCAGGAATGCGACTGGCACCCAATCCAAGGGAACTGCTGGGAGTGAGTGTAAACCCACCCTGGTTTCTGTGCACGGAGCAGGCGTCCCCTCCACCGCCGCCCTGCTGGCGGGCAGCCGGGCCTCATGCCCGCCCCCGGGGTCGTCGAACCCCCTCGCAGCTTCTGTTGCTGTTTGTCGTGTGGTACCGCCCTGGTCGGGAGTCGTGGGTTGCGCTAGGCGCAGCGTGGCCTAGTGGATCGAGCGCTAGACTGGGACACAGGAAACCTGGGTTGTGTCCTCCGCTGGGTGATCGTGGGAAAGTCCCTGGCCCCTCTGTGCCTCAGTTTACCCAAATGCGGCTAATGATACTGACTTCCTTGATATAGTTCTTTGAGATGTGACTGCTAACAGGAGTTAGACCAGGGAGGAGAACTCCGAACTCTCCGGGGAGGGAAGCTCTGGAACACGCGTCCCAGGGACCTTGCGGGATCCCCGTCACTGGGGGCTTTTAAGAACAGGCTGGACAAACCCCGGTCAGGGCCGGGCTAGGTTAACTCGGTCCGGCCTCAGCGCAGGGGGCTGAACGCGATCACCTCTCGGGGTCCCTTCCAGCCCGAAGTTTCTATGATGAAAAGCGCTAGGGATTGCTATTGCCCTCCTCACAACCGCCGCGGGAGACAGGGAAGGATCCTCCTGCTCATTGTATAGGTGGGGAAACTGAGGCAGAGGGGACTCCACGTCAGGTTGGTTTTCTGGTTACCGCACCGGGCTGGGCTTGAAGAGATCCGGGTTGGATTCCTGGCGCTGCCACAGACTCACTATGGAATCTAGGGCCCTTTGTGTCTCTTTGGGCCTCAGTTTCCCCATGGGGCGGATGATCCTTCCTTTGTCTATAGGTCGTATCTACATGGGGACGTTACTCCGGATTAAGGTAGGGTGTGAACCGTGCACCAAGCGAAGTGCCTTTTTCCGACTCAGCTTATTCCACTTCCGAAGTGGATCGGACTGGAAGTTCTTTGGGTCGGGGGTGGCTCTGGGTCTGTGCAGCACCCGGCGCGGTGGGGCCCCAATCTTAGCTGGGACCTCTGGGTGCTACCGTAATAGACCTAATAGTTGCTCCACCTGTAACCCCAGACCCGACTCTTTTGCAACACCCGGCATGATGGGGCCTGGATCTTATCAGGGGCTGCTAGGTCCTACCAAAATATACCAAATAATAAAAAATACTACACAGGGCGTTTGTAGCAGAGCTGGAGACTGACAGCCCCATGCCCTAACCTCAAGGCCAGCCTGCGTCTGCTGGCGGGGGTGGGAACCTACTTGTATTTGGGTTTATTTCGGGGGGAGGCTGTCTTGTCCCATCAACCCCCCCATCTTTTTCCATTGGATCCTTCCGTCTAGAACATTAAGGGGGACGGTCGTTGCTACGTCTCCATCCCCATTATCGATGAGCTGCGATTGCCTTCAACGTGCACCTGACACCTGCTGCTGGCCGGTAATGACTGTAATCGAATCTCATGCTTCAGGGCTTCACCCGGCCACCTTGCAGGGGTCAGGAAGGATTTTGGCTCCCCACCCCTGACTCACAATTGGTCAGATGGTTTCTGGGGTTTGGTTGCAGCGTGGGGCGTGGGTCACCGGCTCGGCTCATCGGGGTGTATCTTCCCTAATCAGTTCCCAGCCATCGCGGGCGTCGGGGGCACCTGTCGCTCCTGGCAGCGGCCGGTGGCGCACAGCTGTTGAAACTCCGGAGGGTTGAAGTGGTTTGGTCCGGCTGAAGTCACTGGGCTCAAAATAGGCTGCATTGTGTTCCCAGCCTGTGTTGATTGTGCCCCGGTCCATGGAGATGAATAGGGGGAAACAGTGAGCTGTGCAGGAATTAAACCATAGGCCCGCCTGGTGGGCAGCGGGCATGAGCGGTGCCAACTTTCGCCTGTTTCTTGCAGCTCCAGGAAAGAGGGAAGGACGCGGGGGGGGGGGGTGGTGGTAGGGCGGAAGGGCTGCCTGATATGATTGTGATGCACTCCTCCGCGCGGCGGCTGGCAGCCGAGCAATCCTGACCTTGCTCCAACCCCGCCAGGCGGAGCTGAACGGGGACCAGGCCCGGCTGATTGGCACGGCGCCGATGAGCTCCCAGAGTCTGCCCCGGGGAAGCTGGGGTGGTGCAAGCCGCTGTTCGCACCCGTTTGCACGAGGGGGAGTTGGCGTCCACCCCACACCGCACAGTTTGCACGAGGAGGGATTGCCCCAGCGTGCTGCAGCAGAATTTGCACGGTGTGGGTTGTGCCGACGCCGTGCTGTTTGCACGAGAGGAGGTTGCACCAACAGGGTGCAGTGCATTTTGCACAAGCAGGGTTGCCCCAGCAGCACCAGCACCGTGCAATTTGCACGAGGGGGACTTGCACCAACCCTGTGCAATGCAGTTTGCACGAGGGGGAGTTGCACGAGGACCGTGCAATGCAGCTTGCATGGTGTGAGTTGCACCAACACTGCATGGTTTGCACAAGGGGTTAATGATGCTTCCACATGGAGGCAAAGGGAAGTGCTATTATCCTCCTTGTTCTCAGCCTAGACGACTTCCTCCGCTAAACTAGTTTCCCTGCTGGCAGTGACAGTTAGTGGCTGAGCGCCAGGCATGAGGGACCCAGATGTGCCGCAGGCAGAGGGGCCCGATTCCCTGTCGCTCTGCACCTGGAGCAACATCTGCAGCAGAGCAAAAGGCCGCCCAGATCAGCCAGGCTGCATTTGCACCGGTGCGGGGAAAGGGCGACACGAGGATCAGCCCCGCTCCAGGCACGTGCCCGTCCCAGGCTGCAGCAGAAAGGTCCCTCCGCGTTCGTGAGTCGTGGATTCACCTTGGGTTCTTCCCCTGCTTGCATCGGCCGAGGCTTGGTCCTGTTGGCGGAGCCTGGGGGACAGTTGCCCTGGGGCCATAAAGTGGTCTGCTCCTCGGTGCATCTTGCACTGAGTGGCTCGTGCTTCCGCTGTGCCCACGGGGTTGTTTTTCCCCACGCGGTGCCGAGGTGCAGCCCGCTCTGGGGTGAGGCGCGGCAGCTGTTCGTACAGGGCTTGCTCACGTGATGCTGAAATGCAGCCACTTCTGGGGTAAGGCATGGAAGCTGTTTAACAACCATCGTGCAGAGAGCATCTTTTAGGCGTGAGAGGGAAGACTAATCCGGTATCCAGCTGAAATTTGGTAAATGACCCAGGCCTCTCCACCCCCCCGGAAGATCATCCAATCCAATCCAAACCTGAATGGTTCGACTCGAGTGTGGACTGTGGGTTGGAGCGAGGCGGTTGTGAGACTCCTGGTTCGTGACTTGTGACTCGGCGTTGTCTCCCTCTCTGCGCAGGACGTCCGTCGCAGACCACAGCACCATGCCTGAGGGAGCCCGTCGAGGCAGCAAGAAGAAAGCAGGCAGTCAAGGTTGGTGCCTGGGGCCCCCATGCGCTGTGACCCCCTGTGGGGCTGGATGCAGAGCTCCCGGGCTGATGAGACGATCTGCCCCGCCCGCAGATGGGGTGGGTTACTGCACAGAGCAGAGATGGGGAGGCAGGACTCCTGGGTCCTATTCTCCGGTGTGGGAGGGGAGTGAGGTCTAGTAGCTAGAGCGGGCAGATTGGAAGTTTGGACTGTTGGATTCTTTTCCCAGATGGGGGAGGGGGGTCTAATGGGTTAGAGTTGGGGGGGGCCTGGGAGCCAGGACTCCTGGGTTTTATTCCCAGCTTTGCCACCGATTCGCTGGCTGACCTTGGGGAAATCTCTCCCCCCCCCCCCCCCCCGTGCCTCAGTTTCCCCATCTCTCAGATGGGGGCACAGTGATTGTGATTTGCTTCACAGGCTCCTTGTCTCTCTTCTTCCCACGTTCTTTCTCATTCCCTCTTCCCTGCAGCCCCTGAACGGTCTCCCCATCCCTAACCCACCAGCCACCCCCTGCCTCCTTCAAACCCGCCCCACACCCCACCCCTCCCCCAAACTGCTGCCCAGACGACGAGCGTCTCCCAGCTGTGCCTGCAGATCCCCATGCTCAGAGCCGAATGACCCACCCCAGCAGAGGGATGGGTGCCGATCCTAGCTCAGATGAGGCAGAGAAGGGCTCTGGGTGGACGGGGGCTGTGTGTGTGTGGGGGGTGAGTTAGAGCAGCCCAGAGGCTGCTCTAAATGGCACTAGAAGCCAGGCAGGACCCAGAACACGCAGAGCAAAGGGAGTCCAAGCGACCTCCCCACAACCCCAGCCCCAGAGCTCAGCAGTGGGGTGGAGCTGACTCTCAGGCCCGAAGGAGGAGGCGGAGGAGGAGGCGATGGGAGGGGGGCAGGGGGGTCAGAGCTGGAGTCATGGGGCCGGACATCTCAGCCTGGGCATGTGCCAGTCCCACCCCCCTCCCTTCCAGCCAGCGGGGGCCCAGGGTTTGAATAATAAACCTCCAGGCTTCACGCGGCCGGTTGGCTCGAGGAGGCCCCCAATGGGGAGACCAAAGCAAACAGGTCGTCCGAGGGCTTCTGCATTCCTGGCAGTCTTGGCACGGGAGCCTGGCGCGTGGAGGGGTGGATGGGCCCTTTAAGGGATCGAATTTAACCCTTCCCCGGCCGTTGAAACTGACAAGAGACAAGCAGGGACCCCCCACCCAGCGGATCTGCATTGAAGAGCCATTGTCTGCATTGAAGCTGCCCCCCATTTGAAAGCATTAGGGTGGGGCTTTTAAAGGGGAAACTGAGGCACGCTGCCAGGGCGCATGGAGACAGCCAGGCAGTGCCGGTGTCCCACCCCCCGGTGCTTGCGAGCTGTTCATGTTCCACTTCCTCCCGCCGAAGCGTCGGGTGCAGTCGGTTCCTCTCTCTGGCTCTGCGGCTGCTGATCGTTTTGACTCACTTGCTGCCTGGAACCGAAAGGGCCAGAGAGATGTGACTTGCCGGGAGGGGCCAGATCCCCGGCTGGTATCAATGGGCGTCGCTCCATTGGAGTCCATGGGGCCGGCAGACCCCGACCCCAGGCCTCCTGCTGCCGGAGTCCTGCTCCTGCTTCCCTCTCCTGGAGCATGGGCAACGGGGGAGGGCGAAGGGTCCGGATATTTGTGCCACCGTAGATGGGAGGCAGTGTGGCCTAGTGGATAGTGCACTGGACTGGTGTTCAGGAGACCCAGGCTCCATTCCCGGCTCTGCCGCTGGGGGCCTGTGAGCAAGTCCCTTCCCCTTTCCGTGCCTCAGTTTCCCCCTCAGTAAAACGAGCGCTCTGAGATCAGCCAATGATGAGAGCTGGGAGGCATTGTTATACTGCTGTCTGTGTGACACTCCCCACGGCTGTTCAAATCCACTGTGTGTGTGTGTGTGTAACATTCTCCATTGTTCTCCGTGCATGGGGTGTGAGGGGGTACCTGTGGGGTGTCCGTGCATACAGAGAAGTGTTTGTGCACCGGTGCGTGTGCCCAGTGCTGGGTTGGGACGAGTGTGTGCGTGCATGGAGGGGTGGGGGCGCGGGCACGGAGTGGCCTTGAATTGTGTGTGCGTGGGGGGAGTGCACCGTGTGTGTGTGGCTGGGGCGGCCGTGTACGCGTATAGGGAGATGTGTGCGTAAAGGGGTTTGTGCGTCTGTGTGTTTGAACAGCGGTGCGCTTGTGTAATATGTGTGTGGTGGTGTGCGCATGCACGAGGGGTGAGCGTGAGTGCCGGGTGAGTGCATGGGAAAAGTTCATTTGTGCACAAATGCATGGGTGCGTGTGTCTGGGTGTGCGCGTCGGGTATGCATAGAGGGCTGAATGTGTACAGCGGGGTGTGCGCGTGTGCACAGGGTGTGTGTGTATGCATATAGGGGTGTGTGGGTGTGCATAGAGAGTTGTGTGCCTTGAGGTGTGTGCGTGCACAGAGGTATGTGCTTAGTGGTGTGTGTGGCGTGTGTGTGTGCGCGCACAGGGGTATGTGCTTAGTGGGGTGTGTGTGTGTGCGCACAGGGGTTTGTGCTAAGTGGGGTGTGTGTGTGCACAGAGGTGTGTGTGTGTGAGCGCACAGGGGTTTGTGCTTAATGGTGTGTGTGTGCACAGAGGTGTGTGTGTGCGCACAGGGGTTTGTACTTAGTGGGGTGTGTGTGTGTGTGCACAGAAGTGTGTGTGTGTGTGCGCACAGGGGTTTGTGCTTAATGGGGTGTGTGTGTGCGCACGCGCATAGAGGGATCTGTGGATATAATAACTAAATACAGATGACAGACGTGGGCTCATGGCCCAGGACCAGAACCCAGCACCGAGCTGCCCAGGGACGATCTGAATCCAGGGCCCGTCTCTAATGTATATTTTTGTGCAAACCTTTCCCCGAGCAGCAGAGCTCAGTGTGTGCCGGGTGTGTGTGTGCAAAGCCTCTCCTCCCACAATGCAACGCAAACCACAACCTCGAAGGTGCAAGGCGGGCGAGGAAGCTCTCGGAGACCGGAGCCGGGGCGGGGGTGGGGAGCGTGAAGTGCAGCTGGGGACGGGTCCCCCTGGCGTCGCCACGTCAGATGGGGGCACAACCCCACGGAGCCAGGATCGGAGGTGACGATGCGGGTGGGGGGCGGCGGGAGGAAGCGGCTTGAGCTCAATGTGGTTGCAGCTCCGGGATGGGGTGGTTTGCAGGATGCACGGGTGGGTGCCGGCTTATTGGGGTCTGGGCCGGAGGGACAGTGGGACTAGAAAGGATCCCCCCCCAGCTCATGGGGTGCACCTGTCTCCTATTAGTGCCGGAGGCCCAGCCTGAGAAGGGCTGAAAAGAGAGAGCTACGGCCGTTCCCGGCCACGCTGGGCCGGAGAGCCACAGAGGTAGAGGGGGGAGGAATCGATCCCTTGATGCTCCAGCCATTGCCGCTGCTTGTGAGCACGGGGAAATCTGCCTGAGCCCTGGGCATCTAGGCAGTGGCCCCTTGGCTCCCCCCGGTGTGTCCCGCCGGAGGAGCTCTGCAGGCACGAATGAGTTTAGTGCCCCTGAGTGATGAGGGAGGAGGGTGTCATGGTACCTCTTACATAGAGGGAGAAACTGAGGCACGGGGGGGAGGCACGGGGCTTGCCCAACGTCAGTCAGCGACAGAGCTCGGCGCGGGGGGAGCCCAGGAGTCCAGACTCATCTCTCTGCTCTGACTAGTAGACCCTACTCCCCTCCAAGAGCAGGGTGGCGAACCCAGGAACTCCAGCCCTGGCTTCTCCCAGCAGGGGGCGCTGTGGGGCGCGGGGCAGGAGCCGGCTATGGGGGGAGCTCCCGGCTACTCCAGCCCCGGCCTCTCCCAGCAGGGGGCGCTGCGCGACGGGGCATCTCCCAGCAGGGTGGGCGCCGCTAACCCGTCCGTCTCGCTCTCCCCCCTCAGCGGCCGCCAGACCATCCTCCGTGTCCTCGCTGAGCGGGATCGCCGGCGGCATGGCCGCCGCCGCCATCTCGGGCAGCTGCACCTCGGTCAACACGGTGTGCTCGGACGGCGAGCGGCCCGTCAGCCTCAGCTCCTCCGCCTCCTCCGCCTCCCTGCCCGACAGCCAGAGCGCCTTCGGCAGCAGTGGGGCCTTGGGCGGGGGCTGCCCCGCCGGCTACCCGCCCGACGCCCAGCAGAACGGCAGCGACATCAGCCTCGATCTCACCCCGGTGGCGCTGCTGGAGGGGCCGGCCGAGGGGCCCCCGGGGGGCGCCAAGTGTGGCGGTGGCAATGCCTGGTCCCCCGGGCCTGCCAGAGCCAGGGAACGGCGGGTCAAGCTCTCCCAGCTGGACCGGGTGGTGCTGGAGATTGTGGAGACGGAGCAGGCTTATGTGCGGGACCTGAGGAGCATCGTGGAGGTGAGCAAAGGGAGCAGCAGGGGGCGCTGTGAGGAGCGGGGTGGGGGGACGCTGGCTGTGGGCGGAGCTCCCGGCGGCTCCAGCCCCGACCTCTCCCAGCAGGGGGCGCTGTGGGGAGGAAGTATAACCCCCAAGTTAACGGGGCCCCGGTTTTGCTGTGGGTTTCTTTATGCTAACGCGTATTATTAACGAACAATATTAATCGCCATTGACTTTCCAGTAGCAGCTCTAGGCCCCACCCGAGATCGAGGCCTCACGGCGCCGGGTGCTGCACAGACAAAGAACATCTAGTCTAAACAGACACAGGGTGGGGAAACTGAGTCCTAAAGCGGGGCTGTGACTTCGCCGCGGTCACATGGCGAATCTGGGGCGGAGCCAGGAGTAGGACCCGGGTGTCCTGAGGCCCAGCCCAACCCCCTGGCCGCTCAGCACAGAGGTGACCCCGGCGGGACCTTTGTGAGCAGCATAGCGATTTGGGGGGTGGGTAATTCGCTGCTCAGCTGCCTTGCGAGTGTCGGTGGATCAGCGCCTGCCCTGGCGGGTCAGACAGGCCCCGGCTGCCCCGAGAGAGGCCCAAAGAATCCCAGTTATTCCTCTGGCAGGAAGGGCTGAAATGCGAGCTCTGGCGGGTGGGGGCGGGGAGCATCTGCCGGGAGCCTGGAGCCAGGCCTGCAGCCGGCTCCCCGGCAGGGAGCTGAGGGGAACCGGCTCACCGGGAACTCCAGCCCCGGCAGCAAACGGCTCATCCCAGAGCTGGACTCATGCTCCCGCGGGCCCCTGGGACTCGGTGCTGGACCAAAGGCCTCCCAGTGCTTGGTTTTAACCATTAGCCCGGGGTAGAACCCAGGAGTCCTGACTCCCGGCCCCCCTGCTCTAACCACTAGACCCCGCTCCCTTCCCAGAGCTGGGATAGAACCCAGGAGTCCTGACTCCCAGCCCCCCCTGCTCTAACCACTAGACTCCTCTCCCCTCCCAGTGTGGGGGCTTAGAGCAAGGGGGACTGGGAGCCAGGACTCCTGGGTTCTATTGGCAGGTTGGGGAGGGGAGTGACGTGCAGTGGTTAGAGCAGAGGATATGGAACTCAGGAGACTGGCTTCTATTCCCAGCTCCCCCGCAGGCTCCCTGAGCAAACCACTTGAGGCCTAATAATTAGAAGCGCTAAGCATCCACGACTGGCAGTTCTGAAAAGGAGGGCCTTAAGTGCCGTGCCTCAGTTTCCCCCATCTGCTGAATGGGGATAATAGTCCTCCGTCTCTCCCATCTTTAGTCCGTCTAGCCTGAGATTGTAACATCTTTTAAGCAGGGAACTCTGCCGCGGGATTCTACAGCTCCGAGCACAATGGGGCCGTGATCTCGGCTGGATTAGAACTAGCAGATTCTGAGCGTGATGGGGAGTAGCGGCGGGTACCAAAATGGCTGAGATTGATAAGGGGCATTGATAAATGGAGGGTTGCTGAGTCATATGGAGGGATTTCGTGGTTTTGACAAGTTGCTTTGAATCTAACGGCTCTCTCCGCGTTTAACAAAGTTTTTTATTTTTCCCTCCAGGGGAATTTCCCAGGTTTTTTTTTTATTTGGCGAACCTTTCGGGAGCTGCAACTTCTTCCATTCCCCAAAATGCGCTGGCCGTCTTTTTGGTTCGCGGGCCGTTCTGAAAACCGGAAAAGAATTCGGTTCGGGTCAAACAGGAATTCCCAAAATTCCCGGTCGCTTCCCCCAAATTGAATTCAGCGCGTGCGTTTTGGGGCGGAGAAACCGCTCGTCTGGAAAATCGACGATTATTTTTGATTTCTTATTGTGGCTATAAAAGTTTGGGGTTCCCTCTGGCCCCACCCCCCAAAGTAGATCTTTTTTGGAGCGATTGCTTGGCACCTTTTGCCTCTGCCATTGCCTGGGTTCCTCTCGGGTCCGAATCCCAGCAGGAGTCCATGAAATCTTGGTTGCGCGGCTTGTGATGGGGGCAGGTCCCTGCATTCTAGGGCTGTGTTGTGAATCAGCCAGAGTTGTGCTGGGGTCCTGGCCAGCGCTGAGTCTCCGCGTGGACAGGCGGGTTTTTCTGGCTGCGGCAGGGGAGCTCGCGAAAGGTCACTGGCACCAAAATGAGATTGCTTTAACAGATTGTCTCAGCAGAGCTCTTTCCGGGTTTATTAACAGCATTTGGTGGGTGGGCGAGGGCTGGGACGTTCAGTAAGTGATGCTCAGGGGGTGGAAGGAAATGTTATTTCACTCGGGGAAACCGAGGCACAGAGCGGGTGGCAAAGGGACCCAGGAGTCCTGGCTTCTGCTCTGATCATCAAACCACACATCCCCCTCCTAGAGCTAAAAATAGATCCCAGGAGTCCAGCCCCCTTTCCCCCCCTCCCCTCTAATCTTTACACCACACCCTCCTCCCAGAGCTGGGAAAGAACCCAGGAGTCCTGACTCTCAGGCTCCTCCCCCTCCTCCCAGTGCTGGGAAAGAACCCAGGAGTCCTCATCTGATCATTATACCACACGCCTTCCTAGAGCTGGGGATGGAACCCAGGCGTCCTGGCTCCCAGTCCCTCACCCCTAAACATGTTGCCTTCTGGAGGGAAAGTTACCCCGGTCCGTGCTGCATGTAGATTTCAGCTCGGCTCGTTCCGCCCCTTCTCAGTCACCGGGATGATGGCGCCCCTTGAATCCAGCCGCTGGCAACATTTATCCACCTTGGCCAGACTCCATTTCCCACGATGCACCATGGTCTCTCCCCATGGCTGAGCCAGTGCAGCGTCTCATTGGTGAGGGATCTCTGTATAAACAGCTGCCATGCTCCACCCCAGAGGTGGCTGCATTTTGGTGCTGGGTGAGGGATTCCTGTATAAACAGCTGCTGTGTGCGCCACCTCATAGGTTTCTGCATTTCACTGTTGGGCCTGTCATCCCAGAGCAATGTTGCTGTGTGGCTGTTAAGCAACTGCCATGCCCCACCCCAGATCCGTCGCATTTCAATTGTGGGTGAGTGGTCCCTGTGCAGTGTGCTATGCAACAACTGTCGGGTGTTCCCCCAGAGGTGGCTGGACTTCAGTGCTGGGGGAATGACCCCGTATTAACAACTGCCCTGGCCCACCCCAGAAGTGAGCATATCTCAGTGCTGAGTGAGGTGTCCTTGTATAATCTGCTGCCAGGCTCCACCCCAGAGGTGGCTGCATCTCAGTGCTGGGATGAGTAATCCCTGTATAAACAGCTGCCGCGCCCCACCCTACAGCCACCGTCAGCACTGTGGATGAAATCATGATGCAGCGTTGCCTGGTGATGTCTGCAAAGTGCTTTGCGGGAGGAGAGGCGTTCCGGGAACGCCAGGGTCTGACCCATTCCTGTTTTGCAGGATTATCTTGGCTGTATCATAGACAGTGGACATCTGCCCCTCAAACCCGAGCAAGTGAGCGCTTTGTTCTGCAACATCGAAGACATCTATGAGTTCAACAGGTGAGTCTGCTGCCCCCTAGCGCCCGCTGGTCAGGGAGAGAATGGTGGGAGATGATCGGGAGAGGGACTTATTGGGGGTATTGAGTTGATTTCTGAGTTCCCTACAACTTTGGTAACAGTGACCCCCATGTGGGGATTGAACCTGCAACTTCGGGGTCTAGATCTCCCATGATGCAGCATGGCCTCACTAAGAGAGGAAAAAGTGGTGCATCATGGGAGATGTAGTCCAATCAGAGAGCCTGGCCCATAGAGAATGAGATCATAAGGTACCTTAGCTACGACTATTGTCTTGAAATATTATAGTCTCTGGCCGAAATTCAAGATTTTGCCCCAAAAGTCAAAATGTTCTGGGCGTGGGGAGGAACCTTGAGCTAAATGACAGATTGAACAGTTTGGATGGTTTGCTTTGACTCAAACAACTCTCTCAAAGTTCACAACGTTTTTAATTTTTGCATGGGGGAATTTCCCCGGTTTGTTAATTGGTGAAACTTTCGGGATCAGAGACGTTTTCACAAACACTCCCAGCTGCCGTGCACAGTCTCACGGAAAAGGTGATCGCACGAGATCTCCCACGTCCTTTATGTAGGGAGCCCTCCTGTCCTGGGCGGACACAATATTGAATGGAGTATATGGTATATTTAATATTTTAATGCAATCTAAAAGTCAAACCCAAATTACAATAACGTTGAAATGAAACGCTGAGGGCCTCATCCTGCCACTTGCTGCACAGACACAGAACAAGCGACAGTCCCTGCCCCCAAAGAGTTCCCAGACAAAGGGTGGGGAGAGGAAACTGAGTCCCAGAGAGGGGAGTGGCTTATTCATAGAGTCATAGATGCCAAGCCCAGAAGGGCCATTGGTATCATGTAGCCTGATCTCCTGGATGGCACAGGCCAGAGACCTGCCCCTAAATAATTCCCAGAGCAGATCTTTTAGGAAAATGTCCAGTGAGTTCTCACTCCAGTGCCCTGCCCGCAGGGGTGGGCTGCCCCCCACCCTTTCTCCCTCTTCGAACTATTCCCGTCTCTCTGCTCTGCCCTCCCCCCCCCCCAGTGTTTCAGCATCCTTGGAGATGCGGGGGCCTCCTCCATCCCGCCGGGAGTGCCTCCGGTTCTCCTTTGCTGTAACAATGGGGTTAAAGAGGAACCCCTCCAAGCCAATGTGTGGTGAGATCTAACCACTAGGCCCCAGTCCCTCTCCTGGAGGCAGGAACAGAACCCAGCAGCCCTGGCTCCCCGCCCCTCTCACTAACCATTAGACAGCGCTCTCCTCTCAGAGCTGGGAATAGAACCCAGGAGTCCGGCCTCCCAGGCCCCCACTCCCCCACTCTAAAAAGCCCAGGGCTGTTCCCCCAGGGATCCGGGCGCTTTGTTGGGTGGGGCAGGACGCCCCAACGGTTTGCTAGCGGGGGCAGCGAACGAAG